ACCAATGGAACAACCTGCCTCCAGAAGTGGTGAATGCTCCAACACTGGAAGTTTTTAAGAAGAGACTGGACAGCCGTTTGTCTGAAATGGTGTAGGGTTCCTGCCTGGGCAGGGGGTTGGACTCGATGACCTCCAAGGTCCCTTCCAACTTTATTATTATTATTATTATTATTATTATTATTATTATTATTATTATTATGTGTGTTTTACAGTAGAGATTGTGCTGAATATTTTTCCTAGCATTTATATTGATTAAGTTGTTAAAGGACTGTATTTCATTGGGAAAGTATTCATTTTGAAGACACCTGGAAAAGTAACCAGCGTGTATCTTTCAAGTCATCTTTCCCCTTCCTCATTTTGAGTTAATAATATGAGTATAAAGTTTGAGTAATAACAATGATCATCAAATTCACATAAAACATTTTATCCCAATTTGTACTATGCAGAGCTTTCAATACAAGTGGTTCTCCATTTATGACTATTCATTTACCAATCATTCAATTGACCTACAACAATTAGGACTGATACAGTATCCCCATGATTAGATGATCAAAATTTGGGCATTTGGACACCACCCAGTATGTACAATAGTTGGAGCATCATTGGTCACACAATTGCCATTTGTGATCTTCCTATCTGTTTTCCAGGGAGGAAGGGCAGTAGCCGGATCCACTTTATAACTACATGATTCAGCAAAAACATTGTAAAATAAGGCATGACTCAATTCATGACTGTTTCACTTAGCAACAGAAATTCCAATATGTCCCAATTGTAGTTAGACGTCAAGAAGTAATTGTATTTGGATTCCTAATATTATCTAGTCCAGAAGGGGGAAAAAAGTCAAATAGATCTTATATACTGTATGTATGCATTATATACAGTATATTTTACCAACTAAAAATATGACATTTGTTTAGACGGTATATCATTATACAGGAATTAAGTGAGTCATGCTTTATAAATATAAACAAAGATGTCTTAAATTGTTCTCATTTAAATTCTAATAATACATTATTATTATTTTTACCTTAATACATTGTTAGTATTTTTACCTGAATAAAATAACATGTTGGAAACTAGAATTTTACAAGGGAATAATTATTTTCCAAATGCATAGGAAGTTTATTTAAAACACTGTTTTTATAATACTTTCTTTTTTGTATACTAAAATGTGAGGAAACTTAGAATAAAAATACTCTCTATTTAGGGATACAAAGATTTCTTGAATACATTTTTTGTCATGAATATTGAAAGAAAATAGAGGCTTGAAAGAAATCATTTGACTGATGGGATGATGCAGTAGGGATAAACAAGGGATTATCTGTTCATATTTCCCACAAAATGGAACAAATGGTAAAACTATCACTTCTGTCCCAAAGATTCTCAGATTTTCACCAAGACAATGCAATTAGATCAGGGGTGTCAAACTCAATTTCATTGAGGGCTGCATCAGCATTGCGGTTGCCCTAGGGGTATGTGTGTGTGTGGCCAGGGTGGGTGTGGCCTACTGGGTGAGCATGTTTTCAGCAGGCAGCGGGTGCTCTCCTCACAGTGCCAAGAGATTGAGCTGGGCGGTGCAAAGCTCGCCAATTTTGCACCTTGCTGCCTGCTGAAATCGGGCAGGCTGGGAGCTGGGCGGCCTCGCGTTTCTTTTTGGATTTGCACCACCCAGCTCAGCCTCTCAGCGCTGTGAGGAGAGCGCCCCGCTGCCTGCCGAAACCCCTCCCCAGAGCCCATCAAGTCAGATATGTGAAGTAGGTGGCCATTTGCTGGCCACTTCTAGGCGATGGTGCATTTCTTCATTCCTCACAAAGGGTGACACCTCCCCAGCATGCACCCAGGGGGCAGGGCTGATGTGGCAGGGGCTGGTTCCTCTCTGTTTCCAGATGGCCTTGTGGAGCTAAGACTGAATGCGTTTCAGCGTAGATGGCCACCACAAAATTGTACATTGGCTCCCGGCCGGTCTGGGCCAGGGCCAAGGCAGTGGGGGCCGTTCCCTCACTGTTTCCAGAATGACTTCGCGAGCCACATGAAACCACTTCACGGGCCGCATCCGGCCCCCAGGCCTTGTGTTTGACATGTCTGAATTAGATGAACAAGGGTGATTTTCAGGGAAGCATATATTGTTTTGAATGCAGATTAGTTAAAATATCCTTTTCTGGAGAGGTGAAGTGAGATCTTTCTGTGGTGTCATGATTATAAGTCAATCCTATTCTATGTAGAAACCTTGTTTTACTTGTGCAATTGTGGATGGGTCACACAAGATGGTTTTTCATCTACTTCACACTGGAAAGTATGTTAGGAGAATAATTCCTTGATTTTTGATACATGTTCCCACAATATTTAGCCATGCTGACACCCTGGGAAATCTTAACAAATAACTACATTACTGCAGCATTGATAGACCATATGGCTTCTGCTCATCTGCGAGAGAAAGTATGTATATTTGCAATCCTGAGGCCACAATGAACTATTATTTCTGTGTCTTGACTTTCTTTTTATAATATAATATTATGTAATTATTAGAATATATAATACAAATGAACCTGGAAATAGTGACAAAATGGGAAAGGGGGAAAGGGGAAAGAGAGAAGTGTAGAATAAAGGATAAAAAACATTAACTTCTGTCTCTTTTCAGTTCAATAAATGAATATTGTAGTCTCAACTTTTTACTTTAAATACTCAATACACACTAGTCATTTCTGTAACAGAAAAACCTTGTCTAATCAGTAAATCAAAGCTTCATTTTTTTTCTTCTGAGTCTTGACATTCAAAGTAAGAATTATATACGGCACCAGCTATTTGTCTGTTTCAGTCTAATGCAGAATTTAAGGTTGTTTTTTTTCTGATTTCTTGAGGTTATAATAGAAAAATTCCTGTTTCCTTTATGCACATTGGTTTCACTAGAAAGATCTTCAAAGAAACATTTTTGTAGATATTTGTAATGCAGAATAAAGTAATATGTCCTCGTGTGTGGAATGCCATTGTAGTGGAATGGCTGAGCCTATATACTTAAGGCATATATAATTTCCCTACAGCCTCCCAGTAGCAGCTTTGATGACAAAAGTGCACATGGTTTGGTGGATCTTGGAAAATTTGAGTCCGTGATAGTAAATTATGCTACTTCCATCAATACCTTCTTCTGGAAAGAAGACATTCTAAAAAATATAAGTTTTCAGTTTACAAGAAAAGACCTTTTTTATTTCTAATTAGACTATGCAGGAATGAATATTTCTTAGACTTTTTAGGTGTTGAAAATTTAGTCCTTCAGTTTCAGTAAATCATACTGGAAAGCAGGCTAGTGTATGATAACTTGCATGAAGTGTTAGTCTTCTTATTTGGGGTTATCTCTCCTTTTACAGCCCAGTTCCAAGAAAAATAAAAAAACATATTTCTTACTGAAGACATTAAAGACATTTCCTTCAGTGATGATATTTTTTAAGATATTCTACATGGAATTTCAGTTCTGTATAAGAAATAATTTCCATTCCTACAATTAGCATAATATCTATAATTAAATTAGCTGACATAAAATTGCAGTTTGTTCCAAATATCAGCTCTTGAACATAATCAGTGAAATATTGGATAAATATAACCTTTAGCATTAAAGGTAAGGATGGGGATATGTATTTGTCAGTATGACCCCCAGTATTCAATTTTTGGAGTTTTAGATCGGCCAGAGGACTCTCTATTCATTTAATATTGGAATAATAGTTATTATAATTTATTTACTTGTATGCTGCTGAATCAGTAGAGATTCTAATGATTGCTTTGTAGATAGAAGGACCTATAGAGAGAAGATTTTTCTATAGACTTCAGGATGTTGGTAGGAGCAATGCTCATGTTAACTCTGCTTTCATACATGGCATATGAAGCTCTTACTGTGAAATGTAATGCCCAGTATCCAGAACACCCACTTCACAGCTATCGTCAATATGGAGACCTCATCATTGGCGGCATCGCATCTCATGGAATCTTCCTCTCCTATGCCAAAATTTTTTATAAAGGAGCCTCTACCAGCCATGCCTGAGAACTTACTTAAGGAATTCATTTTAGTTTGTATGTGCATTTATGTTAATTAGAATGCCAGATGATGTTATAGGAAATTGAAGAAACTTTAGATGCTAGGAAGACAATGCTCATTGTGCAGAAGGAATGTGTGTAATTTTTTAAAGACATTATTCTGTATGATGATTGGAGCTATCAGGTAACATGACAATATAAGATTCTGAGTGTACGAAGTTACATTGTGTTAAACATTATACCCTCCAAAGTAATATATATCTTCTATGATCAACAATAATAAATGTGATAAATGCTGCAAAATGTTTCAGAACTGTAAAATATTATCTGATACAGATTGCAACACTCATTCTAGAATACTTCCGAAGAATTACCAACACATCCTGGCCTTAGCCTTTGCAATAAAGCAGATTAATGAAAATCCTCAGATTTTACTGAATATCACCTTTGGATTTCATATTTATGATAATTATTACAATGCAAAATGGACATATCATTCCACAATGCTGCTTATATATACACTAGAACAATTTTTCCCAAATTACAACTGTAACATGCAGAATAAGCTTGCTGTGATTGGTGGACTGGATTCTCTTACTTTTCTTGATATGGCAATTGTTTTGGATACCAATACGATTCCTCAGGTAAGGTTTGCAAATGAAGTTAAATACTTCTTTTATCATTTCTTTGATTTGCTGGATATATATTTGTTCTTTCAGTCTATGGAGATTCTCAGTCATCCAGGTATGGTTGTCCCAAAAATGCTTTTTCAGGAGGCAACTGGACTGTCTTCTTTTTCTTTGAAGATGTTTCACTTATCATCCAAGAAGCTTCTTCAGCTCTGACTAGATGGTGGGGAGTGGAAGATTTTATATTGCTTGCAGACAGCTGGTCATGACTGAGGAAGCTGAGAAGCGAAACGTCTTCAAAAAAAACAAAAAAACCAAAAACAAAACAAGTATGTCCAGTTGCCTCCTGAAAAAGCACCTTTGGGATTTGTTCTTTCAGGATCTTGGAATGAAAATTATTACGATGTCCAAGATTAGTTGCAAAGTTTTTTTACCCTGGAATAATGAAGAAGGTGTGATTCATTAATGATTTTTCTTACATATAAAATTAATATTTAAATCCCTGTAACAGTGATGGCGAACCTTTTAGAGACCAAGTGCCCAAACTGCAACCCAAAACCCACTTATGCATTGTCGGGTGCCGGTGGGTGTGGCCCATTAGCTGGGTGTGGCCC